TAGAAGGTTGTCATTGGACTGTTACATGTGAACTCCTTGTGGAAGTCAGTACATTATGTAACTAAGTTTACTTTCCATATACCTTGTCACATATAAATCATGCTGTGTAGGATTTGAGGTTTCCACAGCGGTGGGTATGAAGATCGCTGTCTTCTGGGTTGTTGGTAGTCTGGTAGATGTCCACGAGCATTTCAGAGGTCATACTACCTGATGACGAAGGCAGTATGACCTCTGAAATGCTCGTGGACATCTACCAGACTACCAACAACCCAGAAGACAGCGATCTTCATAAATCATGCTGTTTATTTTTGTAAGTAGTGATGATGGCTGTAGCATGTACTGGAATTGTACCAAACCTTAGCCTACTTATGAGGCAAATTTGAGTAGGTTATATCAGTATGTTCATTTCAATTTGAGTGTTTAAATTTCATTTTTATTATGATTGTGAAAATATAGAATTTTCACATTTATTGTACATTTAGTATGTACAATAAATGTGCCTGGATGTGCAAAGGCCTCCATATTCATATGTGGTGATGTCTGTGGGGACATCTTATTATCTGGTTTTAAATGGTCTGTAAGAAATGAGCTGCGAAGTTGTCTTCTCTACGCCGCATCAGGCAGTGGCATAGCACTCAGTTTTATTTGCAACACATAACCTCTGCAGAATGATAAGATTAATAATTTAGTATCTGTTTAATTCACAGCTTAAATTTCTTATGTTTTTATTTGTATATATTTTTCTTCTGACTACAGCTCTTTATGAGCCTTGGCTTCCTGGAGAACCCTCCTCCTTTCATCTCTTTCTTATGCTTTCATTTACCAGGCCTTAATTTTTAAGGTTTTAATATCATTTGGTACACAGTCTAGCCACCTTAATTTAGGTTGTCCACTTTTGCGATTGGCTTCAGTCTGGTTGAAGGTTAATTTCTTGTCAGGTAGATTTTCTTCCATTCTTGCTATATGTCCTATCCATCTTGGTCTTGACAACTTGATTGTTTTAACATTCCTTATATAGATTGTGTATGAGCCGGGATAGCTCAGTTAGTATAGTGACTAGCTATGGGCTGGACGACCGGGGTTCGATCCCCGACGGGGGCAGAGGATTTTTCCTCTAGCCTCTGCATCCAGACCTGCTCTGGGACCCACCCAGTCTCCTCTACAATGGGTACCGGGGTCCTTTCCCTGGGGTAAAGCCGGCCGGGGCGTGAAGCTGACCACTCACCCCCATCTAGTGCCGAGGTCAAGGAAGAGAGGAGCTATACCTCCACTCACCCCAAGCGCCTACATGGCGTATAGTGGGACAAACTTTACTTTACTTGTAGATTGTGTATTTTATTGTTTTTTATTCTCCAGACACCATTTTCATATATTACTATTCCTTTTATTTTGCTTATGTCAAAATAAAGCTGTTTATGATAATGTTACAATTGATGTTAAGAAGTTTTTATAAATTTTCTGTCCAGTCAGGCTGCTCATTCACTTACCTCAGATGATTTATGGCACTAATAGCTGACTGTCTTATGTTTCATTCCAGAAGGTTTGAGACACACACGTGCGCATACATTATGTTTTAACTGACAGTCCTTCAGGTTTGATTTCAAGGGAGATTTTTCCTGAGTTTGTCAGGTGTCCCACAGCTGCAATGTGAATTAGCCTAAAAGTGTGGAAAAGTTGTAAATGAAGGCATAAACCACAAGTAACACTTTATATTTTACTCATGTTTATGTTCATTCATTATTTTGACGTTTTGAAGTGTTACATTTTGACAGCTTACCGGTGGCAGCTCATACTTATGTGCTGAAAAATCTTTCTCAGGGTGAAGGGAATGACAGTAAGAAATTTTAGACCCAATGATCAATGACTGTATTATGAAGAACAATGAACTGGCATATTTCTTTATTATGCAGCATGTCTTGCAAGAGTTAAAGAAATGAATGTTTTATTCATGGTATATTACAGACAGAATGGAACACAGTATAAAAAATGTAAGCCATTTTATGCAAATTTGGCAAAAATTTCTTTTTCATAACACTTAATACAATATTATTTCAATATATTTTAAAGCAAGCCTGTATACTGTAAATCTGATTCTGAATGCAGTAGCAGGCTCTTGTGAACACAGTAATGAACGAAGATTCCTGTCTTCCGGGTTGATGCGCTATGTAGTTTCAGGGGTCATACTGCCTCCGTCATCAGGGCGTTGAATATCATCGCCCTGATGATGGAGGAAACGTTGGTAAACATCTACCATACCATACGGCGCAACAACCCAGAAGACAGAAATCTTCATACTCACCGCTGTGAAAACCTCAAATCTTACACAGTAATGAACCTTTAGGTTCCATAAAAGGCCAGGAATTTCTTGACTAGCTGAGCAGCTATGATCTGTTCCATTTAATTAGTTAATCTACTTTAAACCATATTACATGAATTAAGAAGGGGGAAGCCTTTAACAGCCTGGAAGGGTTTTGAAGTCCATTTGTGTGCAGGACATGACTTCTGGCTTCATGTGTCTTACAAACTGACTTAAATACTTGTGCTTGTTTATGTGAGCAAACATCAAAATGGCTATTGAAATTGTATATAAATGACTGATTATTTCTGTGTCTTATAATAATTAACATAATAAGTATGATTATTATATATACAGTATGTAAATATGTACAACATAAATGGCCTTTTAAAAATTGTAAGCATGGTACTCAGGTCAGATATATTACTCTTTCTAATATATCAAAGACCATACTGCCTTATCATAACTGTGGAAGAATATCAAAGATAGCACAGCTTTTGTTGTTTGATACTAAATATTTGTATATGTTTCAAAAATTTCCATTTTATATAAAACCTGTACATATTATTGTGATAAGTTTTGGTGTGTCTATTATGTCATTTTATTTTTATATTTTTTGTGTAACAGTTAATGTGTTTGAGTGACATTTATTGGATGATTGTTGTGAATGGTTTGTTATAGTTTCATCTGTTAATGCTCAACAGCTCAGTTTGGAACAGAAGGGGGAAGTAGGACAAAATACATTGTTTTTCATAAAAGTTTTAATATTGCCACATTTTCAAGTTTCTCCATATTATCCAAGAAATACATTTATTTAAACTGTAGAAACTTAGAATATATTAATGTCTTAGAGGAATAGTTTTATTAAAAACATGTTCTGTATATTTTCATAGCAGCCACATCAGGTTTTTGGTTAATATTAGTTTCACTTTTTCACTGTCACATTTTCTTTAAGTCTCTATTTTTAGGGGCATTTAACATAAATTGTTTTAAACAAAGGGCACTACACTCAACACAGCTTAAGTAAGAACTGAGTAACACAGAACCTTGTGTACTCAAACCTGGGCTACAGCCCTTGTAGGGCCTTGGCCACCATAACAATGCTTGCCCATTCCTCTGTTCCACCTTCCTTCTCCAAACCCTAACTCCCATTCTCTTGAGATCTTCCTCTATATCATCAAGCCATCTCTTGTGGGGTCTTCCAGGTCTTCTTCTCCCTTTGGGATTTTGATACATGGTCTTGGCAGCAGCCTGTTCTTTTGCATTCTCTCTACATGTCCAGGCCAACACAGTCTCCTTTTCCTAATTTCTGTCACAGTCCAGATCTTCATAGAGACTGTAGTGTTCGTGGTTAGTTTTTACCTGCCGCTTTTCATTGACCGCACCATATATTTTTCAGAGAACTTTCCTCTCCCGCGTCTCCAGCTTATTTTTGTCTCTTTTCGTCAGTGTCCGTGTCTCAGCACCATATAGCACTACTGGTCTTATGATTGTTTTGTATATGGTGTGCTTCAGCTGTCTTGAGACATTTGAGGATCTTAGAAGCTTCTGGTAGGCAAAATAGCATCGATTGCTTGCCACTATTCTGGCTTTGATTTCCACACTGACTTCCCCAGGTACTTGATACGTCCCTCTTCCATCTCGAGATTCGTGAGATTCTCGAGTCTACTTTTATCTCTAGCGTATATCATGTACTTGGTCTTACTGGTGTTAACTTCTAGGCCTAGCTGCTTCGATCCTTCTTCCAGTTGCTATACACTCTCTCAGGTAGTTTCCTGTTCTTCCTACTACAACTACGTCATCTGTGAAGGCTATGTATTGGACAATTCTATTAAATATCATTTCTCCTGGTTTGATGGTTTCTATCAATAAAGTCTTATGAATTCACTTGTGGCAAGAAGTGGGTTGAAGTACCTTCATAGTCATTCAGGTTTCAAATGTAAGTTTATTACTCTTCTTTAACTAATTACTAAAGTGTATTCAGTTATGGATAATAATGTGATATTAACAATTATTTGATTTTTAATTTGCATATTTAATTTTATGTAATCATTCTTCTATTCAGAGCCTCGCAGCACACTTGGAGAAAGCTTGTGGCACATTAGTGTGCCATGGTACACTATTTGAGAACCACTGCATAATATGTTACTTTATTATTATTTAAAAGTGGAGTTTTGTAAACTCTATCAGCCTGATATACTAAACCAACCTTACATCTACATCAACTGAATGAGGCTGAATGGGAGCACATTCAAAGGATTTAACACTTATAAATGACGTGGTTTAGGCAACACAAAATACTCCAAGTTTAGGATGATGATGTAACAGCATAAAAGTCCACTGTAGATAAATAAAGATAAGTACATAATGGATATATTAAGAAAACTCATAAGTAATTCATATAAAATTGTCTTGTTTAATGGCTGATGCACTATTTTTAGATTGGAATATGGATTTTTGTACTTCAGCCCAATAAAATTTGGAAATAGAAGTCAGCTGTTCAGGTCCCCCTCCCTCTTGACAATTGGCTTATGATATTTTTCTTACATTGAGGTTGA